GTTGGAGTGGCTGGGGGGAGCGAAGGCATAGCGGCAAAATGGCACAGAATGACGCTGACCATAGACGGTCTCAACATACCGTGGCTGAGGTTGACAGCTCTCCCTTTTCCACTTGCCAGGCAGAGGTTAGGAATTCGGGCCTGTGGATAGTGACATTTTGTTACCGGGTTTAGGTGTGTCTCATTTCAAAGGCCATTGCTCATTGTCACCCATAAAGTTTCTACATGTTTTACCATATAATGTATACTTAGAAGCATGACAGAGAATGAATATAACTGCTTTTTTTTACTAAACTTTAGTAAGAAATGTAGACCGCTGAGAGAAACTTAAACAATAGTAACTGCTAACATATGTGAAATTTCTGTAAGAGGACATTGTTTCGATTATAGTATTATTCTCTGACATGATTTTTTTTTTTTACTGGAGGAGGAGCTGATTGAAGCTTGATTTTAGATATGGAATCCTTTTTCTTCCCTTTAAAGTCACCGGGTAGCAGGGGTGCAATAAGTTTGCTATGAATATTGTTGAAACATATAAGGCAGAGATTCAGGCGGAATACACAGTTACGAGTTTCTTTAAGTCTAATTTCATTGTGCTTTTACACATCTGGATAATTAACCAAGCATTACATTCTCTCTAGACTATTTTTACAAGTACAATATGCTCTTAATGTGATTTCCATTAGGCTGCTCCAAACATCATTTAGGAACTCAGAAAGATTGCAGACCCAGATTTAAAACCACTATTCAACTGTGATATTGAGACTTTTTTCCCTCATGGGAGAAATAAAAGATTGAGAGCTGAATTCTGAGATCTTTCTGATATAAGAAGGAGGACTAGAGGTTTATTGCTTCTTTAAGCTCCAGCAAATACAAGCAGATGCAACACACACCTCATCTCTGGTCCCTTTTTGTCAGAGGTGAGCTCAAAATGTGATCAGCATGGGAAAAATGAACCATACCAGAACCGTGCTGGAAACTGCAGCTTGAAGCTTCTTTAAATATTAAAACGGAATTATAAGGGCAGACTAAGAACCTGATGTGTTGATGCTAACCTAGTTTGAATTGTTGTGTTAGATAAATACATTTATATGGCCTAGTTCCTCATTTGCAGGTCACCACCGAATTCTAAAATAATATGTGTTCAGATAGTTTCTGGCCGTGCTTGTCTTCTTTCCTTTTATATTCGCTTTGATGCTGTTCTGAGCTTTTATGAGGCTAGGGTCTGATCCTATGGAAGAAGGTTAGTGTTAATTCACAGGCTTCAGGAGCGTCATTGGCCAGCTGCTGCCCACATTGGTGAACACCAGTGAGAGATCAGAGAAACCGCAGGGCTAATAGTTGTGGTGGTTGTTGCGTTTGTCCTTGTTACAGGCAGAATTCAGAACAAAAGAAGCACAAGCTTATAAAATTACAGGATCAGAATTATAAGTCCTAAGGGGCCATTTCTGATTCATCAGACAACCACACCTAAATTCTCCCCCCAACATAAAGGATTCTGTTCTATTTAAGACATATCCAGCAAAGGGGAAACTGGGTAAAATAAAACATACTTGATTTATTGTCTGGTTGTCTTTTAATGCGCTTTTGGTGGTCAGAGAGTCGTTAAATTGAGAAATAAATGATTGAGGAAGAATAAACAAGTCTGGTCTTGCAAAAAAATGAAGAAAAAATATGTGTCAACAAAGAGAGCGAAAATAATTGAAATTTCACTATAACGTTTCAGTGTCTGTTTTCCATAAAATAATCCTATAATTGTCTACTGTGTAACAGTCTGAGTCACTCAACCAATGGAATGATTAATGAAAACGGCAGTGAAGGATTTGTCACACTGACACAGGCAAGGAAGTGTGTGATAGTCATTAGGAAGCGAAAAATGAGATAAACATCCTCGTTGTTAGATTAGCAAATGTGGATCGAACATTGAGGAATCTGTTTTGGATATTGTTATAGAATTACCCCTCTGACTGTCTTGTTTTCCACGAATGCTCAGCTTAGCAAGTACGTAGTGGATAAACCCAATGTCGGACCCCAACTTGGGGGACCAGAAACCGATTGTCTATTCCAGGACTATTGAATGAAATATGGTTTGATATAAGAAATGGGAGGCAGCCAAGCCTAGATCGAATTCCAACTAGAGTTTTGACTAAAATTTGACTAACAGACCCTTGTTTTCATCATTTTAAAATATAGGAAGATGATGTTAGCCTTAAATTGGTTCAAATAAAAGTAGGTATAATAGCCTGGTTCATAGTAGATGCTCAGAAATTGAGCAGGTGTTTCTTCTTCATTTCCTGCCTAGATATATTCCAGATACACATGATGGTCACAAGGGGGGAGGTGCCATAAAAATGTGGGTGTTTTGGCCTAAGTTTGTCATCACTACCTATATAGCAACTTAAAGTATATACCTTTCTATCTCAGAAAGAGACGAGAGAAGTGTTCTATTGCCAGGTTTTATAACAGAACAACTGGAGTGATGTTATCGCTAGAAGATATAATTTTTAGCATTTGTACTAATATCCAATTGAGAAAAAATGTTTAGAAGTAGTGTCAGATAAGTCATTCATGTATCGAATATGTTTTTATGTTTTTATGTACACTATGTGCTGGGCAATGTATACGTTGTGGGCATAATAATCCACGAGGTTGTAAACTTTGCCTTATCGCATTTGAGTCAGGTTTTCCATAATGAATTTTCAAAAGAAATTGTGAACTTTACAAGTTTTGTGCTTTATTCATTTTTGTGTCTCCCGAAGTATTTAGTATAATGCCTTTGACAAAATATTTGCCCAAAAAACCATCACTGAATGAAGATTGTGTGATACATCTTTACCAATGAAATGATTACTCAAGGAAATTTGCTTTTTTGGGGTCATCTTATAGAAATTTTACTTGATAAGTGTTCACTTATTGTGCCTAATGAGAGAATATATAGCACGGTTATGCAACAAACCAAATTTCAGACATGTAAACACATCTTTACAGAATCACAAGGCAGCTAAAATGTGTTCATGCATATGAATGGATAAATTGCTTTGATTCAGTACTTTGCCTAAATAATTATTATTGCACAAAGAAGCTGCATCAGTGAGGAGATTTTGTGTAAATTATGTAAATTACATTTTGTTACCATAACTTGGAAGGAGTTTGGGTTTTGGAGTAGGTCAGACCAAGTCTAATTCTGACTCTGCAACTTAACCTCCCTGAGCCCCAGTGTCTTCACAGTGAAAGGATAGTGATGCTATCTCCTGAGTATGATTATGGTATGGAATAAATGAGTGCTCTTGGGAGTTCCCAGGCATTGAATTACAGACCCATGGAGAGCCTTGGAAGTATTGCTAAGGGTTTGCAGACTCAGATGGACCCATGTAACGCCTCTAGGCTACTTCGAACATATATGCATTGCTGTTTTCCAAATGCGTGCAGGTTATTTCAAGATTCATTCATTCGACAATTGTTTATTGAGCAGTAACAAATAAACAGCATCAGGCACAGGGAATACATTAATAAACAAAACAGATGGATATCCCTGTGTTCATGGATGTTCTATTCTAGCCCCGGTGGGGGAATAATAATTCAAGATAAATGAGTAAAAGTTTGTTGGAGAGTGATAAGGATTAAGATGGAAAGGAGAGAAGGGGAATAGAAAATGTCAAAAAAAAAAAAAAAAAAAGAGGTGTGAAAATTTTAGACAAGGTGGCCAGAGACGGCATCCCTCAGAAGGCCTCACTTAGGGAAGTGACGGGAAGTGAGTGTTCCAGGTAAGGTAGAGTGGGTCACAGGACAGTGTGGGTCACAGGCATGACTGTGCTGAGAGGGGCTGGAGAGGATTGAGCGAGAGGGTCGTAGGGGACAGTGTTAGTGAAGTGACCAGGTCGTGTCTGCTCTTTCATCTCAGAAAAAGCACTTTGCTTTTACTCCAAGGGAGCTGGGGAGTCATTAGAGGGTTTGGCAGAGGAGTAGCTTCATCTGATTTATGTTTTAACAGACCTCTGTCTTGAAAATAGACTGGATGAGGGTGAGGGGGAAAGTAGGGGGCAGTCAGGAGGCTACTGTAATAATCCAGGTGAGAGATGGTTGTACCTGGAGCAAGCTGATGAAGAGGTGGTGTGAGAAGACACTGGATTCTGGGCATACTTGATAGAATAGGTAGAGTTGACAAGATTTGCTGATGGACTTTTGTGGGATATGAGAGAGATAAAGGACACCGAGATTTTGGGTCTAAGCAGTTAGAAGAACAGTGTTAACATGAATCCAAAGGAAGTGTGTAAGGAGGGCTTGGGAATTGGAGCTTCATTTTAAGCATAATGAAGTTTAATATTAAACATACAAGTGGAGATGTCGAGAAAGCGACTTCTTAATGGAAAAAATACAAAATATTATACAATATACTGAACTAATAGTAGCTTTTCCAGCATATCTAAAAGCAGCATTATTGTTAGGTTTGTGTTCACAAAATCTTTTGAAACTGAAAAAAAAAAGCTTGTACTGGAAAAGGTTGGAAACAGGTAAGTTAAAGTGACAATCTTAATGGTTAATATATATTTTCCTTTTCTACATGTTGATTTCAAAATTTGCATCATTATACAGATTTTGAAATCTTAATTTTTGGCCTCAAGATTTTTGTTTTTTAATAAAGGTTTTAATGGAATTTTCTGGTAAGAAAAACCCTCTGGGTAGCAGAATTGTGTTCACCGGTCTATTTTTATTATTCTTATTATTTTGGAAGGAAATGAAAATGTTCATTGATTACACGTTAACTTATTACATTTTGTGTCCCTAACCCGTGTCGCGCATGTCACTCGGTGCTATTTGGGATGATAAAAGGGGTGAAAGCCAGAGTTCTTTGCTATTGCGGAATTTACAGTGTGAGGTTAAGAAACACGTGGGTGTCGCATGGGGAGACACTGCCGTTCGACTGTTATTTTAATCAGCTTAAGCACGGAATTTTACTAACATATATTTGCGATGGTTCATTTTGACGTCTACCCTTCTCAGTCTTACGCAGGGAAGTATGTGCCCGCCATTGCACACTGTATCCACACTCTCAACCCCCTGATGTCAGAGAAGATCAACCTGAAGGGAATTGCTATTGGAGATGCCTATTCTGATCCCGAATCAGTAGGTGGCCCCTTTTTCCTTTCTATTTTGTTTCTTAAGGAGAATAAATCCCCTTTAATCAGATGGAGGCTCCTCTTACCTTAGAGACCTAACCTGATGAAGGGAAATACTGTCGCCCAGTTGCCTCTGATAATTTCAATCGTCTAATCTTTACCAAATGTTTTAAGGTGTCAACTTACTATGTCAGCCTAGATTAATTGTGAGCACAAGTGTAGGGGTGTGTGTGTGTTCGTGTGTGTGTGTGTCCTTGTGTTTTGCGTACATGTGTGTTGGATGTATATTGTGTGGTGTGTGTTGTCTGTGTATGTTTTGTGTACATGTGTGTGTTTGTGCATTATGTATCTATTGTGTATGTGTGTTTGTGTGTGTTTGTGTAGCATGTGTGTAGCATGTGGCCTGTGGCGTGTGTTGTTTTCTTTTGTTTGTATGAACACATATTGTGTTTGTACTGTGTTTTGTGGTATGTGGTGTGTTCGGGAGGCATCGGGCTGTGCGTGTGTGTGTATAGTTCTCGTTTTTGACGAATTCCAGCACGAAATTGACAAATGACAAAGGGTTATTTCACCGAGCGAACGGGCTTCCCTACCTTCTCCCTTTCACCCTCTGCGGTGTCTGCGTTTGTCTCGTTTCTCTTCAGCTCATAAAGGGCTATGCAGAATTCCTATACCAAATTGGCTTGTTGGATGAGAAGCAGAGAAAGTACTTCCAGAAGCAGTGCAACGAGTGTGTGAAATACATCAAGGAGAAGAAGTGGTTTGCAGCCTTTGAAGTGAGTCCTGGGGCCTGCACCGCCCTGGAGCAATGAGAACCAGCTGAGGAGGTGCCTAGAAGCACGTGGTGCGGGCTTTTGTTGTCATTAGGGCCAGTGTATCTGTTTTGCTGTCCAAGGTCAGGGGGCAAGATGAGTGGGCTCCTAATGAAGGAAAGAACAGTCCGGGTTTCTTTGAATTTGCTTTGGCCGGATTGTAAATCTGAGATCACCTCGGGGTGTTTATCTAACTGGGTCTTTCATTAACTGTTTGATTTCTTTAAATGCTGCACAGGGCCTAAAGGCACACCCTATCGTGAGGCAATCAGAAAAAAAGGCAGCCAAGAAAGTGGATGCATATGCTTCAAAATATGTTCTAAACCCTTCCGAAAGACAATATCCACACACAGGGTTTCGGCTAGAGAAATGAACGCAGCGTGTAACAAATGTCACATGTTCCCGGATGTCAGGAACAAAGATTATAAAGTGTAGTAATTCGAAACTTTTACAAATGGCTATTGGTCTTTGTAAATACTGTGACGTGGCTTCCCTAAAATTGAAATTGAGAATCGAGTAATATGGCCATATTTTTCACCCTCTTTTTGTTGTTATTTAAAATGTAAGACTACGCTAAATATTAGATATAGGAGGTAGGGTTTTGCTTGGGTTTGTTTGTTTGCCAATGCAGGCAAAGATCTTGTTTAAACAATCTTCTTTAGGGTTAATTTCGACCTTTATCATAAAGCCATCAGGTTAGAAACACGTGTAAATGAAGCATAGATTTAATTTTAAGGGCTTTAATCTTTTTGTTATAGGAAGCACATCCTGTCATAGTTGATCTAACAGCATTATTTTTATTAAGACTGAGGCTCGATATTAATAGTCTTCTAGGTCAGCTGGTTCAAATCAAAACAGGAGACATACAAACTTAAGAAGAAGGGAGATAAAATCAATTATGCTCCATTTTACAAGTGGGTGTCAGGGCACTACCTGAAACCCCCCATGGCAGTGACTGTCCACGCTATGAATTCTGATAGCAGACAGCTGTGCCACTGGATTGAGCTCAGGAAGTCCTGAGCCATCTGCAGGATGCTGGCAGTCTCCCCTTTGTCTGTGTCAGGACACCTGCTGTGGCTGCAAAGCACAGATTCAGAATTTCTTGTGCAACTGTAAATGTGAAGGAAGAGAGATCTGATCAAGGGCATGTAGGATCATTCTTCAACTTGTAATGACAGTATTTTTGAAAATGGTTTTAGGCTAACTGTTGTGATAGGCAGAAAGAGTAAACCTTTAGAATTTAGAATTCATATCAGATTTTGCATTGCACAAGACCAGTCTGCAAGTGAAACATTTGATATGTTTTTGAAGAAGCACACAGGGAATAAGCAATGTCAAGAGCAAGAGTATTTGATAGGCCCAAAGGGATAAAGAAAGCAGAAAGATGTCTGTGGTACGTGATGTAGTAGCTATAGGATTTAGTAATACTGTTGAAAAGTTCAGGTATTTTGTGTATTCAGAGATAATGAGAAGCTGGCCTGTGAGGTTACATAGGGTCTCTCCCGGACCAGATTCATCAGAAAACAAACAAAGAAAAAAAAAAAACAACACCAAAAAAAACCTTTAAGGTATGCAATGTCTCTCTGCCCACGAGTCCAATAACTTGAATGATGAATTAAAACATAAAGATCTTTGCTTTTTCAAAGGAAATAGAGTAAATGATACTTTGGAAAGTCAGCAAGTAGCAGTCAAATATGTTTTAACATCTGCAACAGAAGTTGCCAAGGAATCCTGAAATCCAAGAGAAAACCAATATCGACATCTCAAGCCTCAATAATGAAGCTTGTTTGGTGTTCTGATCCTGTGAAATTATTTAGTTGGTCAAAGAGCAGTAACTCAGAGCTGGAGGGAACTTCGGAGACCTCCTTCCCTCCTGACACACACGCACACACTCACATTTCCCTGATGAAGAGACTGAGGCGTGGAGGGGTGAGTCAGTTGCCACATAACAGATTGTGGCAGGCCTACAGCTAGAATTGTTCCCGCCATTCCCCCTCCGGTGTTTCTCCTGAGGTAATTTTCAGGCATTCTCTAAAACTCCTGGTACATCTTAGAGAGTCTACAGAGATGCACAGTGGCCCAGCTCTGATACTGGCCTGTCTCCCTTAGCACAATGATATTCTGGATTGCTGAGTCGTCATTGTGACACACGTTTTGACCAGAAACTGGATTACACAGGTCTTGACCACCCACCTTATTTGTTGGACAGCAAATGATTTTTGACTGTTTCTGAAATCCTACCCATTCTTAAAGGTTGAATTTATGTTCCTGCTGGTGTTGAGAATAATTTCTAAAGATTAATTTCAACAATAGTTCATGCATTCAGGACCACTGCTCACTTCCGTGTCCCCTCTGGGTGGACAAATTTTACAAAAAAGACACCTCCTCTGGGCTGACATGACACTCACCACCCACCACTTCTTCCTGTAGTTAACTACCAGCCCCTGGCTTACTCCTTCTCATTCTCTGAATATTTTTTTTAGCTCCTGCCTCACTGTCCCTCTCTGTGGCATTATTTTGTCATCATTTCTTGTAATTGCAGTATCCACACTGATGAGCCTTTAAATACTTGGTCCCTCGGTTCCTTAATCATCTTTTTTTTCAGTGATCTTATTCTTCTCTTTACCTTAGCTTCTTATTCCCATTACCAAAAAAAAAAAATTTTTTTTTGAAGTCAACAATCACTCCACAACCTCAGATTCAAACATCTTCCTCCAGCTGCCAGCTCCCATCCTCCCTCTTCTCACTTCTGCGAATACACCAACTCCAGTCACAGTCCTGCAGCCTTGTTGTCTACTTCTTCATGACCCCCAACCCCCTCAAGTCTTAGTTTCTCTGATGACCCGATTTAAACCCAAGGTCAGGAATTCCATACATCTCCAGCCTGTGCCCCTTGCGCACTGCCTTCAAATCCTTTGGCCAAAGCACAGTCCTGGCTGAATGCACCTCTCTGCCAGTCCACGCCTGCCTCTGCAGCTGAGCGTGACAGGCGGAAAGCGCACAGCCATGGGACTGCTCTCGCCCTCAGCCGATGGCTGGCTTTTTTGTTAGAATCCCAAAGACAACTTCCGCCAGCTCCAGGTACTGGCACGTTTGCCCACATCCTTCACCCTGCCCCTCCACAGGCTATGGCCGAGCAGTCGATAACCTGCATTATAGCAACCTGCCCCGCAAGGCGCACTCCCACGGATGCTCACTCCCACGGTCAGGGCTTTGGGGTTTGCTGTTTCCTCTGC